ATTACAGTTTATTTTTGTAAATATTCGAAATGTTTCGACTAATAAATTTTGCAACGGAAAAACGACATATTATTTAACTTCTTACGATTCTCCAAGGAAATCTCAATTCTCCTCACTGCTAAAATTCTGTGTGTGATCAGGGTATACCATAATTATATCGTTCTTAAAAAGTCATAACCTTTTTCTGTCTGTATTTTTGGCAATAATTCCGAAATTATAAATTTGAAACTTAAGAATCATGGCCAAAGAAAAAAGTTATACTTTGAATAAGTTGCATATTAATATTTAAGCAGGAAAGAAACAAAAATCCTGTTGAAATCAGTTGAATCTCCAGTGCAAAAGTGGGAAGAAAAACATTAAAACCAGTTTGATTACCCGATTGAATTTGGAGGAGATTTTAATAATCGTTCTTTTTTGTTTCCTTCCGTATTTACACTGGTTTAAATGTTTTTTTGCACACCTTTTTCCTCACTAAAGAGTCGCAATATTTTGACAACGTTTTTGTTATCTGAAATATTTTGTTAAAAACTTTTTTTGTAAACTGTTTTGATTTCGACTTTAAGATTATGTTAAGAGAGCTCCACATTCTCATTTTTAAAATAAATTCAGAAATTCAGTTGTGGTCAGTCATGCAAATTTTAAGCCAACTAAGAAAAATAACTCAAAAGCTGGGTTCCTTCATGAATTACATCAATTAAAAAAATATTTCATTTTTGATGCCGATATTATTTTTTTTAGTTAATATATTTTATTATCAGCTGAACATTACTGATCCATAAATATTTATAAAAAACTAATCGTGGTGTTAAAGTGTATAGGCTATTTTTGAATTACTGTATTATTACTGTATTAGAAAAAAGAATCAATATTTGTTATAGATGGCACAATTGTTTCATCGGGAATAATTTGGATATAGAATTCTCTGTGCAGGCTTGATCAAAAAGAAGATATGTTGTTTTTATAGAATTAACATGGTGATATATATTAGAGAGCAGTATATATTTTCGTTATTTATATATTTTATTTATATATTTTATTTATATATTTCGTTATCTATATATATTTTCGTTCGTAAAAATCAAGTGAAAGTCATGAATCATTGCTAAAATATTACTGATTACTTATTGCTGAGAAACCATTACTAAAATAGCAGGATGTGTTTTTTTCTGTAATTCTTTCAAATACAAGTGCACTACGATGAGCAGCCGTAAAACAATAATCCGTAAAAGGTTTGTTTACGTTTGCGAAAGAATTGTTAACGAACGAGTTTTGCAGCATTAATCTAATTTTCCATTTTTATACTAATTGAATATTATTACTTTTATTGTAGTTGTTAAGTTAACTTTAATTAGTCACAATCATCATTTAATTTTCTCCCTCATTCTAGATTGCGACGTTAAATGCAAATATCATTGAAAATATATACTGTTTGTTTTCATTTAAAAAACTTACCACTTTGATTTCCAAAAATCGCTGAAATGCGTTAATTTTTTTAGAAGATAGATTTTTAATTACCCACTTTAATCAGTTGGGGAACTTTCTCTCTCCTCTAAAAAAAATTAGGTGGTGGTCCGTGAGATAAAATATTTTCTGTAGGGTGGTCCGTGAGGATCTAAAGACTGGCGATCGCTGCTCTAGATAACGAAACTAAACAAACATGTGATGCATTTGGGAACTCAAATGATCGAAATATAAAAACACGATTTTTTGTTAGTTTGAAAGAGAACCAGGCACAAGAAACCTCAAATTTTTGAGAATTTTTCTCTGTGAAAAAAATGGCATTAATTAAATTTTAAATGGTCAAAAAATTGTTTTTATAAAATAAAAACAATTGTAAAAATTTTTAAATTTTTTTCTTTTTTAACTTCTGGCAACGTTAAAACATTTAATGTTTTTTTCCCTCCATGATAAGTTTTTCAACTTCGAAATAATTTATCTAAAAAAACCATGAGAGATAATTAGTTACTTATATACTTATATATTACTTATATATTGGATAATTAGAATACTTATATTTTCTATTTATATACATTTTAATTTGGCTTCAGTAAACTGAAACGAAAAATAGATATTCATTAATAAATACTTAAAACAATAATAAAATAAAAATCTTCAATTTCAGATGCATGACTTCCTGCCACATTTTTATGTAAATGATAATTTAATTGAAAATTCATAATTGTAGTAAAGAGCCGGTCAATCAGTTTGTTTAAAAATGATTCTACTCAATCGAACAATATCATAATAATGGACAAGTTTCATTTACTTACAGGCATTGTAAGGTTCTAAAAACATATTTTTAAAAAAGAGGTATTATTTTCTACAATTATCGCAGAAAGAATGTAATCACATAGAAACAATGTCTATAATTTCAAAGGAATTCTACGTAATAAAACAATATTATATTGGACAGGTTTCAGTTGCTTATAGGCTTTGTTATGCTTTCTCCAAACCTACTTTTAAAAGCGAGGTATTACTTTAAATGTTTCACACAGAAAAAATATAATCACACATAAACGATTCTCAAAACAGTTCCACTAAAAAAAATCTTAATGATGGCATGGTTTAAGTTGCTTACAGGCTTTGTAACTTTTCTAAAAAACATACTTTTAAAAAAGAGGTATCATTTTAAATGTTTCACACAGAAACAACGTGCCTTCTTTCGTTTTAAAAATCCCAGTACATAGAAGTAATTTCATGTTCAAATACAAACGTTTCTCGTATGAAAAATGAAAAGAATTTCTTTGTCTTCGATGACTTCTCTGGTGCTCACGTTGATCATCGCTTCTGCGCAACGCCTAACGTTGTCCGTGCACAGCATGACATAGTCCGAAACGAAATAGTTTGCGCAACCCATTTGAACTCAGGATAGAGTATGAACTTTGGTATATATTGTTGTGAATGTTAATAATTCATCCCAGGTTGAGACAATGGGTGCACATGCTATCATCTTTCTGTATTTTAGCCCCATGCAAGGGAGAGGGTAAAGTTCAAGAGGCACAAATGAATCGCTATAGGAGAGCTGCAAGGAATGTGCTCACGAAAAGAGTCTGAAGAAGACAACCCACTGTACTTCCTCTGTTGATCACTGAAAAAAAAAGAAGAAAAAATCACTCTACAGATCACACCAACAAGCATTTTTACAAAACTAAAAACCATAAAATAGCAGAGAAATAAAAACCATATTAACGATCAAGCCAATAAGTATTTTTGTATACAAATCACGATAATTGAAAAAGTAAAGAAAAAAAAAAGATAACTGAAAAAGTAAAATATCACTACAGATCACACTAACAAGCATTTTTACAAAACTAAAAACCATAAAAGAGCAGAGAAAAAAAACCATATTAATGATCAAAGCAATAAGTATTTTTAAATACAAATAGCGATAATTCAAAAAGTAAAATCACGCTACCGATCACACCAACAAGCATTTTTACAAGATTAAAAACCATAACATAGCAGAAAAACAAAAACCATATTAATGATCAAACCAATAACTTTTTTTTAAATACAAATAACGATAATTGAAAAAGCAAAGAAAAAAAAAAGATAACTGAAAAAGTAAAATCTCGCTACAGATCACACTAACAAGCATTTTTACAGAACTAAAAACCATAAAAGAGCAGAGAAATAAAAACCATATTAATGATCAAAGCAATAAGTATTTTTAAATACAAATAACGATAATTCAAAAAGTAAAATCACACTACCGATCACACCAACAAGCATTTTTACAAGATTAAAAACCATAACATAGTAGAGAAACAAAAACCATATTAATGATCAAACCAATAACTTTTTTTTAAAATACAAATAACGATAATTGAAAAAGCAAAGAAAAAAGATAATTGAAAAAGTAAAATTACACTACAGATCAAACCAACAAGCATATTTACAAGATTAAAAACCATAACATAGCAGAGAAACAAAAACCATATTAATGATCAAACCAATAACTATTTTTTAAATACCAATAACGACAGTTGAAAAAGTAAAGAAAAAGAAAACGAAACCAGATTAAATATTAAATCAATAGGCATTTTTACATACTAGTAACGATAACCGCAAAAGTAACCAAAAAGAAAACAAAGCCATATTAAAGATCAAACCAGTAAGCAGTTTTAAATATCAATAACAATAGTTGAAAAAGTAAAGAAAAAGAAAGTAAAACCATATTAAAGTTGAAAATAATAAAATAAAAATTAAAAACTAATAATAATAATAATTGAAAGGAGTAAGAAAAACTGAAAACAAAACCATATTACACATATCAAACTATTGTAATAAGAATTTTTAAATACAGATAACGAAAATTGAAAAAGCAAAGAGAAAAAAAAGTAAAACTAAATTGAAGATCAAACCAATAAGCATTTTTAAATACTAATACAGATAATTGAAAAAGTAAATGAAAAGCAACCAAAACCCTACTAAAGATCAAAATAATAAAAACAAATTTAAAAACTAATAATAATAATTGAAAAAGTAAATTAAACGAAAGCAGAACCATATTGAAGATCAAACCAATAAGAATTTTTAAATTCCAATAACGATAATTGAAAAAGTAAAGAAAACGAAAGTAAAAGCATACGGAAGATCTTCGATCATCGAAGATGATCATTTGATGATTGAAGATCTGACCACGAAGATCAAACTAATAAGTATTTTAAAGTACTAATAACGATAGTTAAGAAAGTAAAGAAAAAGAAAACAAAAACATATTAAAGATTAAACTAATGAGAATTTTTAAATACCATCTATATATATATTTCTCTTACACGGCACCAAAAAAAAGCCTCATTACAACTCCCCGAATGGCAACGTTAGAAAATCTACCAATGATTGCTGCTAAAAATGTCACATGGCAAATGTCACATGAGGTGGCTCAACATATAGCGCTTTAAAAAACGGAAACAATAACCAGAGTGAGCATTATCAGGTTGTTCAATTCAGATTTATGCCCTAAAAACATGATAATATTTAATTTAAACTNTTGAGACAATGGGTGCACATGCTATCATCTTTCTGTATTTTAGCCCCATGCAAGGGAGAGGGTAAAGTTCAAGAGGCACAAATGAATCGCTATAGGAGAGCTGCAAGGAATGTGCTCACGAAAAGAGTCTGAAGAAGACAACCCACTGTACTTCCTCTGTTGATCACTGAAAAAAAAGAAGAATAAAATCACTCTACAGATCACACCAACAAGCATTTTTACAAAACTAAAAACCATGAAATAGCAAAGAAATAAAAACCATATTAACGATCAAACCAATAAGTATTTTTGTATACAAATCACGATAATTGATAAAGTAAAGAAAAAAAAAGATATCTGAGAAAGTAAAATCTCACTACAGATCACACTAACAAGCATTTTTACAAAACTAAAAACCATAAAAGAGCAGAGAAATAAAAACCATATTAATGATCAAAGCAATAAGTATTTTTAAATACAAATAACGATAATTCAAAAAGTAAAATCACGCTACCGATCACACCAACAAGCATTTTTACAAGATTAAAAACCATAACATAGCAGAGAAACAAAAACCATATTAATGATCAAACCAATAACTTTTTTTTAAAACACAAATAACGATAATTTTAAAAGCAAAGAAAAATAAAAGATAATTGAAAAAGTGAAATCACACTACAGATCACACCAACAAGCATTTTTACAAAACTAAAAACCATAAAAGAGCAGAGAAATAAAAACCATATTAATGATCAAACCAATAAGTATTTTTAAATACAAAGAACGATAATTGAAAAAGTAAAGGAAAAGAAACCAAAACCATACTAAAGATCAAAATAATAAAAACAAATTTAAAAACTAATAATAATAATTGAAAAAGCAAATAAAACGAAAACAAAACCATATTGAAGATCAAACCAATAAGAATTTTTAAATACTAATAACGATAATTGAAAAAGTAAAGGAAACGAAAGTAAAATCATACTGAAGATCAAACTAATAAGCATTTTTAAATACTAATACTGATAATTAAAATATTGAAGAAAAAGAAAGCAAACCCATGAAGATCAAACTAGCAAATATTTTGAAATACTAATAACGATAGTTGAAAAAGTAAAGAAAAAGAAAACAAAACCATATCAAAGATCAAACCAATAAGTATTTTTAAATACCAATAACGATAATTGAAAAAGTAAAGGAAACGAAAGTAAAAGCATACTGAAGATCAAACTAATAAGCATTTTTAAATACCAATAAGGATAATTGAAAAAGTAAAGAAAGTGAAAATAAAAGCATACTGAAGATCTTTGATCATCGAAGATGATCATTTGATGATTGAAGATCTGACCACGAAGATCAAACTAATAAGTATTTTTAAATACCAATAACGATAATTGAAAAAGTAAAGAAAAAGAAAACAAAAACATATTAAAGATTAAACCGATGAGAATTTTTAAATACCATTAGAGATAATAACTTCTCTCGCCATTACCCTCCTTGGAGCAATGGATGTGATTATGGTTACAAGGTTTATCCATTTCATGTATGGGTGTTAATTCAATATTTAAGAAAGGTTTCAGTTTGAGTTGGTGAGGGGAGAGAGAGAGCTCACCTCTTTGAAATGTGCGATTTCTTGTTTCTATAGTAGTAAATCCTACAATATGGGGTAAGGGGAGTTCTTTCGATAGACTTAAGTTAATTTTTCATTGAAATCGTGTCAGTATTGAAGTGAGGGGGGTCGAGATGTGGGTTTTCGTGCTTTAGTTGCTAGCGTAGGAATGAAATGTGCTCTATCTCTATGCGTTGACTATCTCACATTGTTTCCTTTCCTTTTATATTGAAAGAGTACTGACATTCTGGAGCAGGAGTGTCCAACCGAAAGTAAAGTTAAGGATCTTCGGAGGTTGGTAAGTCAAGTTTGTCGGAAAACATAAGTTATATAATTTATTCTTTTATTTATTTTTAAAAAATTAAACCTTGTATATAGGTTGGAATATCTGTGTTTGTCAAATGAAAAAACGAGCCAACTTTATTCCAACAGCTTTGTATGTGTACTTATGAAGCGGTACTTTGAAGTAAAGAAACGGTTCGAAGTTTCCTTGTTTTATTATACGATTTTTCCATTTTTCTTAATAAAGAAGCTCCTTTTTGGCTTCTTTTTAATTGTTTTCATAATTGCCGTAAAAAGTAGAACTTTCTTCTTTTCATTATTTCTCAACGTCCTGTCATTTTTTGAGAGTCATAGCCTCCTAATATGAGTCATATTAGTACATATTAATACGAAATTTTGATCTATATTTATGAATTCTCAGAACTGAAATTTGTTTTAATTTAATTTTATTTTAATTACATAACCGGTGTTTAACAGTCGATATCTATCAGATTCATGACTGCAGATGTTTAACTTCATACCCTTGTAATGAAGTAAAGAATACCCAAGTAATATACTTCACACTATACGACGAATAAATACTTCGTATACATTCGTCGTCTTACTTCATACTCTCAAAAGAAAAGCAAATTCGTGGATCATATTTACACTTGATGGAAAATTTCTCTAGTGAAATTAACCCATTAGAAGGTGAGGAAAAGCATGAAAACCTCCCACGCGACTATCCTGACGGCGAAACGGCTAACGAGGTATTTTGGGTCCGCACAGTGGTCAGAGCAGAAGTGGTATACGTATTGTCCATCAAACTTCGGAGTCCAAATCTTGGTCACTTCATCTGGAAATGAGCACCCTTATTCCTGAAGCGATAATGACTCAATGTTCATTGGTCTTGAAACTTAAAATTTATTATTGACAATAATATCCGGATTCTTAGTTCTACTCTAAGTTATCATTTGTATAAATAAACTTATTTCGAAGATTTTAAATCATTATTGTAGTAGACTTAGATTATAAAACAATGGATTTTTTAAAATATTTTTTGAACTTAAATGCTAAAACCAACTTGTAGGTTTCAGAAATTTTTTTAAAATTGAATTAAAATTATATGTTAAAGACGGTTATTACAGAACACGCTTCACTGGCATTGCAAGTATCTTTACCTGCTCCTGTATTTTCAGAAATGTGAAGTCCTGAACTCTGTTGACTGCTACCGACGAGCGTCTCTTCGCTGCTCATGTTGATCACTTTTGAGAGAGTAGCTGTACACTTGAGTCTCATCTCGTCTCTCTGAAAATGGTCTGTTCGTACTGGGAAGCTCAAACCCAAGATGGACGTCGCCTGACCATCCTGATACCTGACAGGCTTGTAACGGATCAGGAATTCCTGTCTAACCTATAAGATTTTATCCGAAACAACTTAATCAATATAATATTTTTAAACAATAAAATGCTTAGTAATCTTTAAATTGAATATATGATATTGTTAAGAATGAAGTGTTATATCAAACTCGGTTGGGTTTTAGAAATTAGAGATAATCGTCAGCGGCAAAACCTGCTAGCGTCTTGATTGTGAAGAAAGAATAATTTCGTCAGTGAATTTGCTCGAGATCCTCGTTTAAGGAAATGGACACAGCTGGAAATGCGCGTTTAAGAAAATGGACGCAGCAGGAAATGCGCGTTTAAGAAAATGGACGCAGCAGGAAATGCACGTTTGAGAAAATGGACACACCTGGAAATGCTTGTTTAAGAAAATAGACATGACAGAAAATTAATGTTTAAGAAAATGCAAAGAGCCGTTAAATCGATGCAACTTAAAATGAGTGTTAACGAAAATTGACACAGCATACATAATAAAATGATAAAAAAATGGACACAGCTAAAATTGTATGCTAAAGAAAATGGACATTCTTCGAAATGCGTGTGTAAGAAAATGAACACAGTGAAAATCGTGATTCTACAATGTTCAACCCAAATTTAAAAACAAAATGGGAAATTTCGTATTACTTTTCATTCCTTTTTAATCATTAAGCTTAATCATTTCGAGGCAAAGTCTTTGACTTAGAGTCAGGGTGGATTGGTATATTACAGACTTTTTACACATCTCTTCGTATTCAAAACACTAAACAATTAAATGGTTTCACAAAAATTCCAAATTTGAGCTATTTAATATTACTATTATAAATATATTGGACCTGAGACAACCTTGTTAAAAGAACTGTTGACTTTTAATATATTTTCAAACAGCAATACATTAAAAACAAGTGGTTTAGGAAAATGGGCGACATCACTTTTTTTTAGATTCAATAGTTTATTTCTTTAAAAAATAAAAATGTTCATAAGGGAAGTTTAAGAAGTTGAATCAAATGCTGGGTTCATTTTCTTAAACAAGGCCACATAAAATAGAGGTATTAAATCGATGGCCACATAAAGTCAAGGAGAGATGGTCACTTTTCATCAACACGTATTGACATATTAAGGATCGTAGAGTCCTTTAAAAAATTAGAAATAGGCAGCAAAAGTAGACTCTTTTTTATAAATTAGTCTTCACCACTATGCTAACTACCTCCAAATAAGTAAATCTAGTTACGAAATTACGAAACGTTTGAGCTTAGTGAATTTCGTTTCGTAATAAGATGGAGCTAATAGAAAGAAATTCTTAGCTTTTTATTACAATATTGAAACAATTTTTTAAAATTTTTGAGAACCGTACGAACCTTGCATATAACATTTCGATTCTACAAATCTTACATATTTGACATATTACATATAACAAATCTAACATATTATATAGAACCCTACGGATTATCTGATTTTGCACATTTAGAGCTTGATGAGTATCTATGAGTATAAGCGATTGTGACTGGATGAGAGGTGTAAGGTGCATGCAATGGCTCCATGAAGCAAAAGCAAATCTAACATGTTATCTGACAGAACCTTACATATTATCTGATTTTGCACACTTAGAGCTTGATGATTATCCATAAGTATAATCGATTATGACTGGATGAGATGTGTAAGGTGCATGAAATGGCTCCATGAAGCAAAAGCAAATCTAACATGTTATCCGAAAGAACCTTACATATTATCTGATTTCGTTCACTTAGAACTTGATGGGTATCTATAAATATAAGCAATTATGACTGGATGAGATGTGTAAGGTGCATGCAATGGCTCCATAAAACAAAAGCAAAATTTGAAAATCTTTGCCAAAAATATAATGAAATTTTTCGAAAGCGATTGATTAAATCTGTACTCAAGATATTGTTTATTGGATTCTTTTTTCTTATTTTCCTTGATAAAATCCATTCCCTACAGCTTATTGTAAGTTTTTTTTATGGTTAACTGTATAAAATGTGTTATTTTAACTTAATTTTTCGTTTATTGTATTAGATGATCGTCTCACCTCAACTTTAAGGAGCGATGGCCACTTTTTAGTTTCATTTTAAATGATTTTATTCTTATTTTGTTCTCACTATTCCTTTATTTTTTTACGAATGAGAATTTAAAATATGCTAAATATTCCTTGTATCTCTATTCTTAATATTTTTACTTCGATTTGAAAAAAACTATGGCCATCTGTTCTAGACTTACCAAAGAAATAGCTTAAATTTTAGCTCATATCCATTCATGAATATGAAATTAGTATCGGTAGGAATTGGAATTGGTAGGTCTCATTGGTATCTAGGGCATTGTTTCCAATGTATTTTTTTAAATGCTAAATTGAAAGAATTCTGAAGAAAAAAATCGATAGGACAAGTAGTTCAAAAGTCATAATATTTTTATAATTATTTAAATTTTTACTATATTTAAGCACAATTTTCTGATGTTGTGCTCTTAGACAGGTGAGCAATTGTTTAACAGCAATTTCTTATGTTGAACTCAATTAAATGAAAACTAAGTCTTTCGAATTAAAAGTTTTGAACTTAAGAGGGTTTTACGTTTAAAAGTTTATGACTCAAAAATTTTTAACTCATATTCATAAACCCTCACTTCTTAGCTCCATTGATTTAATTTTGAATTTATTAGATTTGGCGTAAAAAATAGAAACAGTGTGTCTAGATAGAAATTGTTTAACTTTCAACCTCTTTTGATCCCTTCTCCTTTTCTCCCCTACCCCTTCGCCATTGCCAGATGTTCACCATCTCTTTTCTTATTCAACAAAATATTTGGAAAAGAATGAGTCATTGCACAAGGGCATCAGAATAGTGATAACTAGATAACCTACTGTATTATTAACTATTGTAGTTTTTACTTCTTTATATGGTTTAAATCTTGAGACTAAAATGTTAATAGTGAACGTTTTTTTTTCTATTCAGTAAATTGATTAGTTAATAATATATTTTAAGTAGTGGATAATTTTTTTTCTGTTTAAATATAAAAATCTTATTTTTCTTTAAAAATAATTAAGTTCTTTTTTTACCATAAATAGCATATTGATTACTTATACTCGAAATAATACAATAAGAGTACAATGAATTAATTTTTCAACAAGTAAAAGGTTTGGAAAAATTCTTGTAACGTAAATGTATTTAGTTTAAAACATTGTTATTATAACAACAATCAATTATGGTTAACCCTTTGACGCAGAATTTTTATTAAACAAATTTTTAATACTTTTTCCATTATTTTGTATTAATTTAGGTCCAAATAAGTAAAAAAAAAATTATAGTTTGTATTTTAATAATTTACGGTTAGGAAATATAGCATAAAACACTGTTGTATTTTTTTTTCTTTTCTGCATTAAAGGTAAAATCTTCCAAGCAATTATCTTTCAAGAAACAGTTACTCATCATTGAAATTTCTTTGGATTTATGTTCTTATTCAAATATAATTCTGAAAATCTGACAGATTTAGTAATTATTAGACTGTTTTTTTACAATAAAAAAAATTCTAAGATATATTTTTGCTAGCGGTTAGAGTGTCAGAATNCCATGTCTCATCCATCTGTGTTAAAGAGCAAGAACAAATTTTTCAAATATGTCACCAATTTGAAATTGTTTAGCTGGAATAGTTGAGAAAACTGGAAAAAACAAACAAACATATTAACTACTTACAGGTTTATCATTAATGTACCACTTGAGTTCAGCTGGGGGATTTGATTTTGCCGATGTGCAATTAACGTCCACGGTGTCACCTTTTTGATACTTCGGCTTTCCTCCGGTGATGACTGGTCCATCACCGACAACAGCTATTGAAAAATCAAATTATATAAGATAACATTTGAAATAAATGTTCTAGAATAAATAAAAGCAGAAATTCAAATGACTTACAGATGAGACAAATCATAAAATACGTTTGGGGGATGAGGGAGAGATTATACAAATTATAATTTTTTTTAATAAACTTGTAATTTTTTTATAAATTGATTTGCTTCTTTCCTTTTTGCATTTAATTTACTCCTCAAATACTAACTTAAAATACTCAAAGACGTTCCCTCAGAATAATAATAATTATATAATTATAATAACAAAAAGTATTACAAAGCTTCTTTTTGCTTTTGCTGTGAAAAGTATTCTAGTTAGCTTAATAAAGGAAAATTTTTTCAAATATAATAGCTCATATTTTCTCAAATTAAATTGTAGGAATTAATTACAGTTTATTGATGAATCTGAATAATAATAAAAAATTTCCAAGTTATTTTCAAACCCGCTTTACGTTTGCTGCTGCCATCTAGGGTGCGAAATAGTAAAATAGAATAGAATGGAAAAAGTAGAAGAGACCAAAAACTTCTACAGATTTTTTCTTTTTGGCTCTAAAATGTTTCATTATGTTTCTTTCACTATTATCTCTTTTTTCTGGACTAATTGCAATACCAGATCTCTTAAATTTTAAAGATGGCACTTCTAAACATATCTTTTAATTGAATTTCAATCCTGTTGTATTTCGCTGTATTCGAAATATGTTGCTGAGTTTTTTGGATATTATAAGGAATTTAAAATAGTGTTATCCTTTTTACTTTTCATTTATGATTATTAGGATATTCATTTTTTAATAACCATGAGGAAAAAAATGGAAAAAGAGAAAAAAGAGAAGAGAAAGTATGAGAGTGATAGGATTTCTGTTGCATAAAAAGATTTGTTTCCAAACAGTACTTTTATTTTACGATGTAGGTGTACAAATAATGAATGTTCCACAAAATTCTAGTATAAAATAAAGAATACAATTAATTTAAGAAATAGTAAGAAATTTTATTTGATGTTCTTATCATAATACCAATAAAGCAAATGTTAAACATATGTGTGCCAAATAATATTCTCGAAGAGTATTAGTCCAGATTTAATTAATCTTTTTGAAGTAAAACCTTATTATTCTTACTCATAAAATATTGTTTGAAATTTTGGAAACTAAGAAATTGCAATTGTTTCCTTTTATTTAATTTTATCATAATTTTAATATAATTGTGTGAAAAATAAATAGTTGACTTTGAATCTCCTAGATGGCAGGCTAATTTAGCTATTGAGTGATATGAGAATATTTGTTATGCAGGGAAGCCGATGATAAAATTACAGGAAATTTTAGGTATCCTGTTGTTTTTGTAGCATTAAAAAATAAATTTGGAAACAAGTTTTCGATTTTTTGTTTCTATTTAGTTCTAGCTCATCAGAATGTTAAGCATAAATAATAACATAATTTTTCTGTTTGCGCAAAACAACACGGAAGTTTTTCTTGTCGATAACGGATATTTTTCAAGACAAATTTTCCTTGACTGTTTGAGTAATCATTCTGATCAATTCTGTAATTTCTAAGTGCAAATGCAACATTTTACGATGAGCTGAAGATAAATTACTTTATTTTAAAACTTTTTTTTAAAGTATTTTGCGCGTCATGTTACGAGTATATAGTATGCAGTGAAAATTTAAGCAAATTAAGAGAAATCACATTAAAATCCAATTTGAATCTTAAAAATAATATTTATTTACATATTTAAGTAGAACTCCTGAAACTAAACAGATTTTTATAAATATTTTTCGAAAAGTTAATATCATTACACTTTAAGAAACTCAAATTAAAGAAAGATTTTCATAGAATGAAAAGAAATGATAACTTAAGTGTCACTTCTAAATGATGTTCTTAAAGTATAATCTAAGAAAAAAAAAAAGGGTTATTTTGAGATTGGGAGGATCTGAATTTTTTTGTCAAAGGCAAACTTCTGTATTTGGTAACTGTTTCAACTTCAGCCCTCATATACAGTCATACATATTTCAGTCATACAATGAAGTTTATAACCGGTATTTGTTATAAAACTAGCATAAAACAAATTTTCAAAAGTAATCAACTTTTAAAGTTATGTAAATATTACGATAGATGGCGCTATCAGAGTTATACTGTCAGAAACAACTTCGAGTTAAAACGTACCGATTCTCTTCTAAAATTTCCACGAGATTTTCAGTAGTACCTGATTTAGAAATCCGAATCCTCTAGGCACTCAACTGTCGGAGGCCCCAGTGCTCCTAATCTTATACAAACTTAACGAATTGTGTACATGCAAAATGCATTCAAAGATTTTACGTTGTGAGTAAATCACAATATAAAGTGTATATTTAATTTTATATTTCATTCTTTTTTTTTCTAACTCGTAATTCTAATAGACAATTTTTAAAGAAAATCACAAAAAAAGTTATTTTTAATACCCTAGAAACTAGGCACGGATCACGATTTTCTAATTCAGCTGCCATTTACGACGCGCTCCCCTGTTTGGCATTTTTTAAAATAAAGAAATTGTTCATTTTTTTTTCCCGCTTAGGCAACAGATTTTAACTGAAATAAAAGATTGTATTTAAATTTGAACCAATTACAGACAAGAGAAAAATCTCCAGAACAGATAGCGAGTAGTTTAAGGCCGCTGAATTGTAAATTAGTGATCGGGTCAGTCAGGCATTATGATAAATCAGGCACTGGTTTTCAGTACAAAAAATCATGTCTTTTAATGTTTCAAGGTCTAATGGTTTTTAAAACCACCGCTAATAGGTACAATAGTTTTTAAAGTGTCTGTGTTGTGAATAGTAGCAGAAGCAACTTAATATTTTTAGGGATATGATGGTTAATGCACAATGATATTGGTTGAAATTTTGATGCTGCCATCGAGTTAGAAATCAAAATGACGTTAATGTATAGCTAATATTTACGTTTCGTACACGATAAAGATAATTAAAGTATTGAATTATAATTTGGTTCAGAATAAGAAAAGATAAAAAAAAGAAAGATGTTTTTCAAATAAAATTAATGGAATAAAATAGAAGTATACACAGGTATAAATTTCTGTAAAACAAAGTAGCACGTATTAGGAAATACGCTTATAATTTTATTATACAAAAAAGAATGCATAGTTTTATTACATTATAATTTTTCATAATATATATTTTATAATATTGTACTACATAAAAAAGTCTTAAAATTTAGCATTTGCCATCTTAGAAGCTGTTGTCACTGATACATCATGAATTCCTAAAACTGGCAAAAATCGGTATTCTTTTCGACGAATGTTCTAGTATTCTATCGTCTATAAGATTCCAATTGATTTGATTCCAATTTCATTCTCTTGAACTTCAATTCCATTAAATTTCAATTCTATTGATTTATTAGATTTCAGTTTTATTGAGTGGATCAGATTTAAACTCTACTAATTCTATTAGATTTCAATTTTATTAATTCGATTAGATTTAAATTCACTTCGATATTAATTCCATTAGATTTCAATTTTATTTATTCGACCAGATTTCAATTTAATTCTTTTATGTTTCAGTTTTATTGAATCGATTAGATTTCATTTCTATTACATTTCAATTTCACTTAGTTGATTGGATTTCGCTAGATTTTATTGATTCGATTAGATTTCAATTCACTTCGATATTAATTCCATTAGATTTCAATTTTATTTACTCGACCAGATTTCAATTTAATTCTTTTATGTTTCAGTTTTATTGAATCGATTAGATTTCATTTCTATTACCACTATATCTATTTCTATTATACCATTTCAATTTTACTTATTCGATTGGATTTCGTTAGATTTTATTGATTCGACTAGATTGAATTCAATTCAATTATATCTATTAGATTTCCCTTGTATTGATTAGATTAGATTTCAATTATATTAAGTTGATTAGATTTCAGTTATGTTAAATCTATAAGATTTTAATTTTATTGGTTCTACTGTATTTCAAATCTATTAATTCTTTTATATTTCATTCCTGTAAATTTTATTAGATTTTAATTTCATTGATTCTATAAGATTTCAATTTTATTGATTCTATTAGATTTAACTTCTATAAATTCTATTTGATTTCAATTTCACTGACTCGATTAGATTTTATTTCAATCTAGATTTAAATTTCATTGATTAGTTTAGATTTCAATGCTATTAACTCTATTAAATTTTAATTTCAATGATTCTATCAGATTTGAATTCTATTAATTCTGTTTAATTTCAGTTCTGCAAATAGGGGGAAATTCGTTGATGGCATCACTACAAATCGGAATGTTTGAGATTTAGCTAATAAAGAATGAAGTACCTGAGGCCTTTGCATTGTCACCAACGATGATCTCTTCGCTGCTCATGGAGTAAGCTTGAGAAATAACTGCAGAACATCGCAGTTTCATTGCCCCATGCCAGAAATGTCGAGGTTCCGCTGTGAATCGGAGCCCAAGTGTGGAGACCAATAGGCGATCAGGATGCCGTATGGGACTGTAGCGAATTTCATATTCCAAAGGAGCCTGCAAAATAAGTAAATCAAGAATATGATGCCTAGTTGAATCCACTGAAAATCGATGCCTAATTGAGAACTAGCAAGTTTTTCATTAATTCAGTGGTGGCATTTCGTATCACTGCACCGTTTTTTAATACAGAGCCAAAGTAAATTAATATCTATTTTGGATTTGTACCTATTCGAATTGATATAGACAATTATGTTTATTTACTAATTTTAGCTCTCGATTGATTTGATTCCATTAATTTTACAGGAATGTGCAAAAGCAGTAAATGTAATTTCTGCCAAAATTAAGCATGTCTTGAAAATACATAACTTGATAATGGTATAATGATTGTACTTGGCAGTTTTATCAATATTTCATGAGATTATACCTTTAAAACCAATTAACTACCACCAGGAAGAATAAACTTTACCTCGTGTCCATTTATGTACCATCGCAGAGCGGCAGCAGGTTTTGATGGGCCTGCTGAACAAGTGACATTAACATCATCCCCTACTTGGTACTGAGGTTTCACACCTGAAATAGTAGGTCCGTCTTCCGGTAAAACTAGAAGAAAAAAGAAAGAAATCTTTAGATGGCTTGAAAGGAAGTTCAGTGTTTTTAATTAATATGATTTGTCATTTATTTAATATGATTTTTTTCGGTGTACAATACTTGTTTGTTCTAAGATAAAATTATAATAAATTCTGTACATATTCTGAAATATAATAAATTAACTATTTACTCAGAGCTTTTGTGAATTCATATTAACAACAACTTTAGGCTATTTCAAAAGAAACGTATGTACTATTAATATCAATAGCTTATAATGATTTGTCTCTACCCTTATTAATATAAAGGTATATGTAACAAGAATTGTTTTTGTCCTTAAATTATATAGGGGGAAAAATGACAGTCGCTGTATTGTCTCCAAATAGTTGAAGTTTTCTTCAGTCCTCGAGTCCTTAGTTAGAGAGTTTTTCTTCCTTTTGGAAACATCAAATTACATGAATTATCCGTTAATAAGTTTTTATATATTATAAGAATAATATAAATTATAAGTATATAATATAAATTATATGAATATTATAAATTATGTGAAACCATGTTTATAACATAAAACTGGTCTTAAGTATATAGATAAAAATGCGTATTTCACATAGTATTCGGGAGTGTCAGAGAAATTAAACATTTACTATATATACAAGAGTGATATTCTTTAAAATACATATTTTTTACTTTGAATTGAATGAAATCAAACTCAAGGCAATGGGACTAATAGTTTAGAAGTTATTAAAGTTTTATATACTGAAAGTACATTTATACCTATTTACGCGTTTGATGTCGCTATCTATGCAAGTGGAGACAATTTTTGCTATGTATTTTACGAGGAAGGAACTCCTGGATCAGTACCCCTAGAGGTATCGATTTGTTATGGGAACATGGAGGACTTTGCGGCTTGACAGATTTAACATGCATCAGTCACCATTTACTACACTGGGAGTATTTGGCCGGCGGGGACCAAACCCTAGAACTCTTGGACATGGGCCCAGTGCCCTACCAACCAGGCTTTCCTGGCACATTGAACTGATCTTGGGGAAGATTACTCCACTCAGCAAGCAATGCTCTCCGAAGTTCGGGTACACATGTAGAAGCTGGTTGACGGTCTGCAACTCGTTGGCCAAGCATGTCTCTCACATGCTCTATCGAATTCAAACCTGATGAAAATTCTTGTGAATCTGCATGGGTGATATCCTTAGATTGAAGGCTTTCGTTTACGATGTTTGCTCACTGGAAACAAGCGTTGTCTTCCATAAATACGAATTCTGCGCACAGGGCACCCCTAAACAAACGTACATGTGGTTGCGGAATGATGTCCCGACAAATTTAACCTAACATCGTTCCGATTTAAACATGCACATCTGTTCTGGGGTCCAGTATAATTCCCTCCCAAATGAGCAATCTTGCATCACCATAACGGTGTCGTTCGATGATGTAGAGTTAGTGGTAATGGATACCTGGGGTTCTCCATATGAAAATCCGTCGTGAATCGGGCAACAGACTAAACCTAGACTCGTTAGAAAACATCATACAAGCTGAAGTTGTCCATATCTACTCCAGGCAAATCGCATGTGACACTGAGTTGTAGATAGCCGACCATATCTGATAGGCTTGCGAGCATTTAGATCTATCTTTTCCAAACGTTCAAAAGTCCTTGCCTTGTAACTATGATACCCGTAGTTGCAGATAACTAATGAAACAGGTTGGATGCTGTCTCTGTCTGCTTCTTTTAGCATTTACTGCCAAATACCGGTCTACATTAGACTGTGTAAATCGAACGAGACCTGACCTGTAACGTCTACTAACATTTTCATCATTTTTGGAACATTATCAAGGCCTAGGGATGCCGATTTTAAGTTCCCCGGATACTTCCTTCTGAGTACGTCCACATTCTAGACGACCGATAATTTTACCTCGTGAAAAATAATCCACAAGCATCCACTGTGTCATAACTATTTGATTATGGCTCTGAGCAGATAAAAGAACACTTGGGAATTATTTTGCTTATTTGCCACCATTCTTTATATACCCTCTTTGTAACGCATTATCGGCGTCAACTGGTGGCTTCCTGTAATTTGGATATTATTCTTGTGCGATGAGTGCGAAGTTTTTACTTAGAGTTCAATTTCCGTGTGATTCTGAATTATCCTTAATTTAAGGACATGAATATATTTCGTAAATGGAACTGTGCCATTAAAATTTGTTTTCAAAATTTCTTAATAACATGATACGATCTTTTAATTTCAAAGGAAACATGTTCGATTTAGCACATTTTTAAATTAGTTAATGAACCATTAGTTAATGACCATTTAAGATAGAATAAAACAAAACAACATAAAGTACGAAATTATATAGTGCATAGATATTATATAGTACATAGACATTATATAGTTCATATTTATTATATAGTACATAATTATTATATGATATGGTATAGAACAGTGGTTACCAACTGACCACCCGTGGGCCGCATCCAGTCCACGAAGCCTTTTTTTGTGGCCCGCGAACTACAATATATTAGTTGTCATTTTTCGCGGACAATTTTTGTAAAAAATCTATATGGGTTTAAAATACTTTCCTTCGTTAAAAAAGAAACCTAATTTCTTCGTTTCCGTTAAATTTAACATACCAACGGTACCAAAAATTGTTTCTCAGGTTTAGCATCCAAGAAAATATTGATTCAAGAAAATATTAATTATTCTGTGTAATTCAATACGTTTGTTTTGTACAACTTGATTAAAATCTGACAGTAATATTTAATGTTCCTTCAAACATTAAAGAGTCCTATATAAAATTTTGATAAAGTTGCGGCCCGCCATTTGACTGGTATCCTTAATTGCGGCCCCCGTCCTCATGTAAGTTGGAAACCCCTGGTATAGAACATAAATTGAAAAGATATAGTCTCTAATCTATAAACTAGAACTTTCCTCATTGTCTAAACACCAAATAACAGTAGAAAAGTAACGAGACAAACGCGTGTTTGTCATTTTTCTGTTTAGACAGTGAGAAAGCTTCTTACTTATTCATAGAGCTGAAATTATAATTCTATTTCTGTACTTTTATTTGAGCTTTATCCACATTGTTTCCGTCATTCTACGTTGCACAAAGTATATCCTTTTACGATATTACGGTTTATGGGTATTATACCGATATTATCGATGTAAAACAATGGGTGTAAAACAATTATCTCACGTTTTTCCCATAAGAAAATATTCTAAGATTATTCAAGTGTAATAAACAATAGCTATCCAAATTTAGTTAAGCTTTGAAAAGTTTGTTTGAAAATTTAACCAAATCGTGCTACTTTCTGCGAGTTATTTTATACCCACGTTCATTCCCAGTTGTCTTTCATACGAAATGTCTTTATTGGATATTAAGAATATTTAAAATATTGTGGAGGCGCAAATCAATGCTAAAGGCAATCCCCTTAACGACGGATCGGAAAGGCGTTAAAATAAACGCTGCAAAAGTGATTTGTGATTCAAATAACTGTCAAAATTATTTATGGCTTTTTGGAACAGATGATCTCTGAAATCGTTCTAAATATTCTTGAAACGATTCATAAAATCCGGAGCAGTATTTCTTTTTCTTTTCTCTCTTTTTTTTAACGAGCTTATTTCAGTGAAAAATAAAGAGGAAAGTATAATGATTCACAGGTTAAGTGTTTCGCAAATAAAAATGATTTATAAAAGTTTGTTTTGAAAATTCTTTAATAGCGTCGATTGATTGATAGACTTATCCATGTAAAAAAGTAGGGGAGAGTGGGGTCAATTGTAACAAAATTCACTTAACTATTTTTAACTTACAAAAAATCCGATATATTATTAGTATTAATTGACTGACGAGTAAAGTAGACTATCCTCTACTAGAAAAAAAAAACCTTATTTTAAATGTTATTATGTTTGATATTAACAATTTTTGACAGTCGTGCACTTGTTACAACTATCCCCACTTACGGGGTCAATTGTAACAGTTCATAAATTCAACTAAAACATAGTTAATTGTACATATTATCATAGTTGTGATATATTTTTTTTATTGATCAGAATAGTAGTGATATTTTAAGAGTAAAAATAATAATGAGCAGAGACCTAAAGGGTTAAACTTTTAACTTTAAGGGGTTAAAAATTTTAATTTATGCTGTGAAAGGTGACAAATAAAATAATGCACATGCAACATAATATAAATGATATAGGAAACTATTGGTGGTTCTTAAAGAGTTAAGTAATGGTTTGTAAACATAAGATTATATTTATTTTCAGCTGTTACAATCGTCCCTTTACTTATGGTTACAATCGTCCCCAAGACGCCATTTCAGCTTCATTTGTTAAAAATAATGCTAGTTAATTAACAAAACTATTTTTTTTATTGAAATGTTAATTAAGGTGTACACTTACATATTCGGTTAATAATTTTCATATGTTTAAACAAAATTACTTTGTTACAATATAATATTCTAATACCAAAAAAAGTACCTACGTAGCGTGAAAATATCTTTTGTGACGTAACTCTTTCAAAAGTGCATAAAAATGCTTGCCAGCAGGGGTGTACATGTAGATTTATTAAATACACCTTGTACGCCACCTAGGTACCAAATCTAGAACCCGACAATCGAAATTTTTGCTCTGTTATAATCGTACCCTGTTACAACTGACCCCACTCTCCCCTATATTTAGAAATTTGACAATCGAATAATTGATTAATTTTAATTGTGGGATTTCACAATTTTGGGGTAATTAAACATTGAGAAAAAAAAGCAGGGTTAAAACTATCAGAATATGGTAAACTGTATCGTGTTTCTGGCTCTATGAAAACACCAAAAATCAGAGCAGTATTTCTTTTTTTAAACGAGCTTATTTCAGTGAAAAATAAAGAGGAAAATATAATTATTCACAGGTTAAGTGTTTCGCAAATAGAAATGATTTATAAAAGTTTGTTTTGAAAATTCTTTAATAACACAGATTGATTGATAGACTTATCCATGTAAAAAATAATATTTAGAACTT